AGATGCTTATCATCTGTTCCGGCCTACGACATCGCAAATAACATGGTCATTCAAAAATGGAAGGTACATTCCGCTCAACATATGCTTGCCAAATGTGAATGATCAAATTGGTACTTACCGTTTTAAGCGTCTTTCCTCAACAAATACCCCTTTTCGAACAGCTTTAAGAAGGTATGTCTGTGGAACCATGATGGGAGGGAAGCTCTACCCCTCTATGAGCATACGACGTTGCACGTGTATACATTATGCATATACAAATCTGTGCTTCGACAATTTATCCTTTTGTGCTGAAGGACACCATGCGTAACTACAAAAATGACGTACCCCCTAAAATGTCAGTTATCACACCCTTTTGGTACTTTTCTTGGTACAATTTTGAATAGTGACTGGTTCGTTATAGCCAACTGGTATGTCATGATATTTTTTCCTAAACATCCTTTTAATTTTCACAAGAGAGAAGTGACTCTGGTGTTCTAAGCAACATTTTTAAAATTCAGGACGGAATGTACAGATTGACCTATTAAAAACCATTTATGTATTTTCCTTTCACGAATTCGGTCACGCTGTGACACGCAAGGTATCTAATTATGTAAACATATGTGTGCATATATATATGTATGTATATATGTGTCCCGTCTCGCGGCGCGAACCCCCCTGGTGTTCAATGCCAAACGAGCACACACTCATCTTACAACTCGTTAATTCTACCTTTCACGCGCGATGGCAAATTTTAGCATAGCTTCAAAATAGAGAATGGCACTGCATCCACGTTGCTAGTTTCACCCGTGTCATGGTTTTTAAAAAAAATTCACGAGGGGTCTTCTTAAGTAACATATACGTCCTAACTGCCATGCCGCAGACCATTTGAACGGGAAATAAGCTTCTCTCATTTAGGCATTTTCCTGTACACCAAAAATTTGGTACATAACGAGATGGGTATTCAAAATTTTCGCCCACAAGCATACGTAATTATAAAGAATATATGTAACGTTCCCTGCATTGTTTACACTTCACGTAGGGAATTTCTCCCTTTATATTATTTTTATGTTCATTCTTGTGTGTTAATCACTTCGTTTTTTGTCCCTTCTTTCTCCATTTAACGCTTAACGCAAGATCCTGAAGTGGTACAGCTTTCGTGTGTGCTTTAAAAAAAAATAAATATGTATGCTGATATATATGTACATACTTCGCATGGGCAGTATATGCCAATTAACCATATAATTATCCATTTGCGTCGCACTTTTTTTTTTTTTTTTTTTTTAAATTTTTTCAAGCTTTTCCAATGTATTACGATCAAAATAAACACGCGTGTATATATATATATACACTTATATGTACTTCTCTCATGCATATGTACGCGAATGCACGTAGTGCATCCCGTCGCGCGTTTTAAAAGAAGCCAAGAGAAAAACGTTAATATATCCTGCTAAAATATAGGATGAACGAAACGTTTTTCAGTCAAAATGGAAACGAATTGACGAGTGAATACCAGATTCTCGAGAAGGAAGCTGACGCCACCCCCGCGAAAGACGCACAGGCATTGCAGCATGTAGCAAGCAAGGGTGAAAATGGGCAGGATCAAAATGACCAGAATGAAGACGATGGTGAGAACCGCGGCGATGAGAACAACGACGAAGCAAACTACGACGAAGAAAACTACGACATTTTAAACATGCTAAATGAAATCAAAAAGGACGTCCTATACGAAAACGAAAAGTTGCAGCAACAGAGCAGTCAAAACGTGCACATCACAGAGGGGGACGATGGCGACAAAGCGGACCGGAACGCTGTCAATCAAACAGGCGAGGAAGCCTCCAACCAACACAACCACGCGAGCGAAACGAAAAACACAATCAATGACAATATCGTCGCGTTGGCGAAAGGTCAATGCGGCGAGGAAGTAAGGGTCCCCAATAGGAACAAAACGGAGGAAAACCCAAAGAAACTACCCAAGAAAGAACCCCAAGTGGAAGAGGAACCTTTGGAAAAGCAGCTAAACTCTAGCGATGCTCAAGTGAAAAGCCAAGGTGCTGCTCCAAATGAGCAGAGTCACAGAAATGTGAGCATTAAGAAGAGCACAGGAAGGCCATCTAAAAAACCAAAAAATATTCCCAGTGATGCAAAGAGTACCCCATTTTTAAGTAAAGAACCCTCGAAAAAAAGGAAGGCAAAAAATGGACCCGATCCACAATACGCTGCGTTGGCAATGCATCCGTTGTACCCCGCGCACCGTGCACATTTGGCCAATCTGGCCAAAGTTACCAAAACGAACAACCCCCTTATAGACGATGAAATTGAATACCTAACGAATTGTGAATTCGTAACACAGAACTACCTCAAGGAGATTGAAAAAAAGAGGCCGAGAGTAAAAAGCCATAGCATTAACATAGACATTTTTTACTCAAGCAGGAGTGAAAAGTCGACGGATGAAAGTGAAAAAGAAGCAGAAGTAGACAGCTCCATAGACTCAATTGAAGAGTTCTATGAAAATATTTGCCAATCAGATGTGCCCCTCGATTTTTATAAAAATTCTCTAAGTGCCAAACAGGGGGTGAAAGAAGTCCAACCAGAATACTTTCTCAACACAGAAAATAGCGTAACGGAGGAAATTCAAATTTTGAATAGATACATAAAAGACATGACAGAGGGTCAACAGAAAAATTCTTCCTACATTGATGTAGATAACAAATTGGTTAATATTCTTTCCCTATCCTTTTTAACCTTTATTGACCATGTAATTTATGATTCGCACATTTATGCTTTGAAGAGTGAATTTACACAAGGGGGAGAGACGGACAAGGGAAAAAAAAGCACCACTGATGAAATTGCTACCCCAAATGGAAACTCCCAAAACGAGTGCCTAGATGAGGAAGCGGCACCAGCAAGGACCAAAAAAATCAACATCGTTGGAAGGAACGCCCCCAATGGTGCTAACCTCCAAAACGAACCTGGCAAAGATAACCCAAAAATGTCTCCCCCAAAGGAGAAGTTGTTTAGCATGAAGAACGCTCAAGATGCTCAAAGTAAAGAGCCTCCTCGTAGTGTTGACGTATTAGATAATCCTGATCAAGTGACCAGAAAGGAGGCTGTCCAGAATGATGGCGTGAGTGCCCGTGAATATGGCGCACAATGTACCCCAGAATATGCCCAAGGGTATCCCCCAGAACGTGACGAAAGAGTAGGCACCGAAATTATTTACACCCCAGAGGTAATCAACCTATGCCTAACCAATTTGTATAACCAGGAATTGGTAAGCAAAATTATGAAGCAGAAAATGAGCGAAGGGGATGCCAGCGGCGCATGCGCAGACAACTTGAAGGATAGCGCCCTTAATACTAACAAATTAATTCATAACCATACCATCGCAGCTACGGCACAGCCGGGCAAATCGGAAAAAACACATTTAGAGGAAAGTGCCAACGAAATGCACTTCAAAAATGGAGGACTCCTCAAAAGCAAGGACTCTCTGCAAACGAACATAAATCACAAATTAAATAAACGACAAATTATAATCAACAAAATAAATGAAAAGATTAAAAAAAAAAGTATCAACAGTTTGCAGAGTTGTGTAAACACTAAAAAGTATTCACTGGATGATTTGTTCGAGCTTTAACTTTTTTTTTTTGTCCCACTCCTCTTGTGTGCACTGTTTCCGATTTCGCGCGTTGTTCCCATATGTGGACTCGCACAGAGGCACTTGCAGTGGCATTTGCAGAGGCACATGCAAATGCACAACCCTTTTTTATGTCTTACCCTTTAGAATGCGTCCATCCGTGTCTGCTTCTAACACACGTGCTGGTGCATATGCTTGTTTGCGCCACAGTGTGTGTTTTCCCAAAAGGCACCTTTTTCCTACCCACTACCCCCCTTTGTTGTGTGAGCCGCCCCAACAAACGCTTAGGCACGGCTACATATACATATGTATGTATGACGTCTTAATGTTTTTCCTGTCATATGCATTCCTTCCTCACCCCAAGTGTTTCATTCACCAATTTTAAATTAACTCCAAATTTGTGCGAAACTTGTTTTGCGGTATTTATAAACTGCCCCCTTTTCAAGACTTCATTTTTGTGTGACTGCCCAGTTAGGAATTACCCAATGATGATTTTTTTCTTTTTAATTTGTCAGCCCCAAATGTTAGTACGTCAAAAAGAAGGAAAGAGAATAATTACATATTTCTGTTAAAGCAAAAAGTGAACGATTAATTTTTTATCTTTCCTCTCGTCAAATGAGCTAATTTTTCTTTTTTTTTGCATAGTCTTCTCCGATTGGGGAGCTCCATTTCTACGCTTTCCTTTTGCTTAAATTGGCACATAATACCATCTTTGCACAATTCGGACGTGCAAGCGATTTTTCTCTTATGCTAAGGCGAATGTCAGTCGAAAAAATATCATATAGGCCGCCCTTTATGCCACACCACCCACACTTCCCTTCTGCCTCGGATTAACCTGGAAAAAAAAAAAAAGTACTTTTACTTGGATAAGCGACAGAAAACTAATTTTACACTTCCATGCACGAAAGGACTGCACGCAATGCCAACGAGTTCGCGGCAAGAAAACATCTTCCTAGAAAAAATCCCTCCTTAAAAATGTATAAAAAGTGGGTATACTTAATTTTGTACGTATCCTTATGGGGGGTGTTCTTCATTTTTTATTCCTTTTTAAGAAAAATGGCTGCGCCATTTGACTTCTTCGATGCGTTTTCGCAACAATCCTGAAGTCAGATGTATGGGCACACGACGTGTTCATATCGAAGGCATGCATAATGAGGAGCGGACGAATGCTCATTTTATGCCTCCTCATACTTGCGCAGATTGACCTTTACGCATATGCTAAAGTGGGGCGCAAGGGGAGCTGCACTCCCTTTTTTGCCAAGGCCCTCCAAATGAAAAGAACAAAATGGAAAGTTTACCTCAGAAGCGGTTGTACCTATCTAACCGGGATTAAGGTAAAAACTCGTCCACAAATGCGTCACGTGTGAAATGGGGCTACTTTCAATGATGAGCAACGGGACCGTTGCTAACTTTAGCATTTCGCTGTATGCATTCCAATACATGTCTTATTTTTTCCACCACTTTTTTTTTTTTTTTTTTTTTTTTGACTAAACACAGCCCAGCGGCAGCATCCACCTGGGGAATTACATCGGGTGCCTAAACCCAATTATAAACTTGGAAGCCAAAAGGAATGCCCACTTCGAGAAAAGAAAAAGCGAAAAGGCGGTGAAGATATACAAAATAATACTAATAGCAGATTTGCATTCCTTAACAAGCTTAGATAATCTTCCCATCTTAAGAAAAAATATCGTCGATTCAGTTAACACCATTCTCTCTCTAATAATAGACATGTATGTAAAAAAAAAAAAATACATACAGGTTTTCATAAATAATGTAAAATTAAAGCATCTGTTGAAATTTGGAAACATGAATCAAATGCTGAAGGAAGAAATGTTCCAGCAACTCACACGTCGCATGACTAGCCAAGATTACCAATTTTACTCATTTTTGAAAGACCCATCAGGAAATGAGTACTCATATGTGAAGAATGATAGTGAGGTCTGCCGCGAGCAGAATATCCCATGCAATGACGCAGATACACCGTTTCATTCACAGTTGGAAAAAAAAAACGAAGAGAATCAACGAACAAACGTCGAGAAAAAAATAAAACAGAAACACTATTTCTACATATTTAAACAGTCGGACATTGCACAACATACGTCACTCTATTATTTGATAAACTCTTTCACGTCTGTTAACATGCTGAACACACATGTGCACGTGAAGAATGTGCCAAAGCATAAATCCGTGGCGTTACTTTCTTACCCCAATTTAATGTTAGCAGATATTTTGCTATACAAACCAGATTATTTAATAGTGGGAGTGGACCAAAAAAAAAACACCGAAGTGATGAAAACAATTTCAAGAAAAATAAACTCGTACATTCCTCATATGATAAGTTTACCAAAAATATTCCCCTCCAAATTTTATGTCCAAATAATGAACCTGGATGGACAACAAAAAATGAGCAAACATAACGATGATGACCTTTCAAGAAATGTTAAAGATTCCCATAACATTATTTACCTCTTTGATGAAAAACACATAATAGAGAAAAAAATTAAAAAAAGTAAAACGGATAATTACAACAATTTAATTTATGGCCAATCTGACAGGAAAGAAATTAACAATCTCATAAATTTGTTCTTCTTTTTTTACTACTACAAAATGAGGGGTGTACCTTCCCATGTGAGTGAACCAAGCCTTGACACACCACCACTCACCCCGCGTGCCGACCAACTCTTCCTAAGCAAACAAGAGCAGACTACACAGAATAAGTTTACATCTGTTTCCACTGCCTCACAAAATGCCAGAAGTTACAACCACACTGTTACCTGTTCAGACAAGGTATACTCCCAAGTGTGCACAGACAAAAGTGACGAAGAAAAATTACATCCCTCCTCACGAAATAACATAAACCGAAACATTAACCCTCAAATTGGAAACCACATTTTATCATTTTACAATAATAATTACGCCACTTTCAAATATGAATTGTCGCATCTGATTTACGAGCACTTCGTGCTTCCGAAATTTGTTTACTCCGTTCTGCAGTCGGATGGTGGTAATTTGGTTAATCATGTTTTGAGTGAGGGGAAGAAATGCCTCTCCCGCAGGGCGGCCAAGACGTTCCAGGTGAGTCACGCGACAGTGAAAAAGGGAGATTTCACCGCGTCCGTAGCTGGCTTCACTCCGTTTTGCCAAATCGGCACATCGCCAAATCGGAACATCACCACATCACCCTTTTCTTTCCCTCGCCCCACGCAGAATTTCAAAAAAAGCTTAAACATCTAAATAGACGGCCAAAGCATAGGAGAAGAACTGTCCACATAGGCTCATTCTAGCTGCACAACAGAAGATACGTCTTGGACAAAAAGAGTTAATCCGCGTTAACCCACCGTTAAGATCAAGCGGACGCATCGCCACAATCGCGTTAAAACATCGCTAAGGAGACATGGCATGGCATCTCTCTCGACCCGCATAATATATAGCGCGAAACGAGGGAGGCATAAAAAAAGAATCAAAAAAA